ATACATACTGTTCTACACTCTCAAACTTTACACATATTTTATTAAAACTAATCTATAAGGTTCATAAGATCGTTGCTTTTTGCAAGAATCACTGAATTAACGGCTGCAATGCAGCTTTGGCCATTCAATGAATGACTGTGGAATTGTGTTCAACAAACTTTTAAACGATTAGGAGTAACACTGTTGAATTACACGTTTAAACAGAACTCCGTAAAGTCGCAGTCAAACTTTGCAACGGCCACCAATCTCGTTTATGACGGATGAGCAAATAGATCGTTAATTATCTCTTTGACGCGTACTCGACATCGCCGAGCGAAAGGGGTGGGCGGGATTCTTTTTAATAGCTTCCGAGTAAAAAGTAATGTCCGTATGTGAATATTCGTCAAAGAGTTAACGAAAGATATTCTCGTGATCTTTAATAAACGATCCGTTGCAGAGTTTGCGAATGTTCTTTTATAATAATTTCTGAAGATGTACTGGTAATCACAACTATATCGGTGAATCCTTTATGGACCATTTCTCTTATGGTGTAATAAACGCGATTGTGATTTTGAACGAAATAAATCGTTGAATATTTTTACAGGTGACTCCATAAACTCTTGTATTATAAAAACGTTACCGGAACGTCGAATAGAACCGATGTAATTACTTTGTTTCCCGTAGAAAGAAATCGTTGCTATTATTGTTCCTCGTGAGACTGATTTCGAAAAGGTAACGTATCGTCGCGTGAAAGAAAATCTCAACAGACTTGATATCTTTCTAGCGAAGATTAAAGTATTGATAAATGCACAAATTTCTGAGATAAGTGTAAAAATGTTTGGAAATTCTTCATCGTGTTTAACGAAGATCAAAGAGACGATTTACGAGTCGTATAATTTCATGTGTTAACAACTCTCGTGTAACAAAAGAGAGAAATGCGAAGGGAGAACGTATTTTTATTATTTCGAATACTGATACTGGTCCATATCGGATTTATGATTGTATATAAATTCTCACCGTACTCGGGATAAAAGGATGTAATGTCTTAACGAATGGTTCGTACGATTTTTGTTGTTTTCAGCATTTCTTTCTCTGTCGCAGGTATGAAAAAGCAATAAAAAGTACAAATTGCTTTTTTCTGTTTTTTTTCTTCTTTTTTTTTACGATGACATTGCGAGTGACATTATATACATATATACACACATACATAGTACATACATACACGTACATGCAATTAGTAAGTATACTACCTGTTTTCTCGATAATGAACGTTGGAAACGGCAAGATATTATACGCGTTCAAAGAGAACAAGAGAAAAGGGAGGGAACGTTGTCTTCGAAGTCTCCACAGTCCTGTATTAGTCTTATGGCAGCGACGTTTGTTGTAGTCCGTCGTGCGATTAACTTAAGCTGGAAAAGAAAAAACCTATCGCATACTTCCAAGGGCGAGGATCCAACAATTTACACACGATATTTTCTTCAGTGGTACCGAGATGTGAATGTTAAGTTTTTTTATAATCATCAAGAATATCGAATTCGAGTGTGAATTTTGTAGAGCTCTACCAGATCGTTCTATGATTAATTAGCTTTTATATGTAAGAGGATATTTACTACACGATTGCTATAATAATAAACTGTAATTAACAATAAAAGTTACTTGTCGAGATTTGTAAATTGCTATTTACTAAATTCAATCGAGATCGCGCGAGACGAAACGGAAAATAGAGCGATGCGCAAACTATTGTAATCTTATTCGTGTCTTATTGTTGTCCTGAAGCGTTAGACGAATCCGTTTTAGGTGCATGGATACACGGAATATATATATATATCAAATGTATTGTAAACTGTCACTTACAAATTTTATTGAACAAAATTCGTTTCTGTTTTCAAAGAGTATTTCCTGAAAGATTGCGTAATTCAACGAGTTCTGGAAGTACATTGTCATTCTCGACGAGGAATATCATTAGTTTGCAATGTATCAAAAGTTTCATATAAAACATTTTATTCTTTTTCCTTTTCGTATAAACAAAATTATTCGTATTTACTTCGAGTCTACAATAGTCAAATGCGGGAAATGGAATGAATCGATTCTTAGACGTAACTTATCAAAACCTGGAAAACATTGCAATGATAATCCTAAATCAGTTCTGTATACTTTTACGCGATATACAATATTATAAAGTTGCATAATACATGTAGACGAACCCTATGCTAATGACATTTCACCTCGCATTCAAATACTCCATAGAATGGAGTGCAACACGCATTGTTCAGGGGGAAGGAGGAAGTATTTCCCTTTCATCCAGACCTATTACCACAACTAGAAAAATTGTTAGCCTTTACGGTTTTAATTGAATCTCACTCCTCTCGTCACACTCGTAAATCGCACACAGAAAATTATTCTTGTCTCAGGTGTTGGATGTCGAGAGATCTACGTATACATATACATATAATACACGTGTATATGTACATAAGAAGCTTTATATACATATATACGTATGTATATATATATATATATATATGTGTATACATGCGGCAATTATATCACGTATTTGTCATGAGAACAAATTTACAATTCCTCGTTCTTAGGCTTGGTAGGTTTGCCTTTGCGATCAAATCCTTTAAGCTCGTCGGTTGCGTGCTTAGCGATATACTTGATAAAATCTTCGAGTTTCCTTTCACCTTCGTACTTAACAGGCTTGTCTTTGGCATCCTTAGGTGCCCAGTAAAGTGTTGGGAAGCCTCTAACTTCGTACGGCGGCGGAACGTCATTGGCAGTGGCGTCGAACTTCACGATGTCAACATTTTCATTTGCTAGCTTCTCGCCCAATTCATCGTAGACTGGCGCCAAGTTCTTGCAATGGCCGCACCAAGGAGCGTAGAACTCGATCAACGTGTCTTTACCGCTGTTTGTAACGAGGTCATCGAAGTTTCGAGCTACTGCGACCTTGACGTTCGCGCTGTTATCTTCGGGAACTGCTTCCGACTTCAGATACGGCTCCAAAGCGTCCGCTTCGAGGTCCTTCAAGAACGCTTTGAACGAATCAACAGAGAACTCGTCTTTCATAATGAACTTTTGATTGTTTGCGTTTCTGGCCAGAACCACTGGTGCGTCGCCTTTCACAAAGTCAATTCCAAAATCGTTCAATTCGTGTTGGAAGTCGTCCTTGGACGAAATGGCGAAGTTCAGTTTAGGGAATTCCTTGGCGACCTTGAGGATCCTGTTGCGCCAGTAATGAGTGCCCTTTGGATTCTTCACGTAGTCAACTGCGTAATAAGCAACGACCAACGGATTCTTGAAGTCTCTAGCGTTATCTTGCGTACGAACTCCGACAATGCCAAAGCTAAAAAATAAGTTTCATTGTAATAAACGTCTATCTTAAAGTTTATGAAAAGAGAATCTTTGTTGAGGCTTACTAGTGCTTGTTAATGAATTCTTGAACATCAGCAATGGAGTTGTCTCCTTCATATTTCACAGTGTTCGGTTCGAACTTGTTTTGCAGTACTTTTGGTCGGTACAAGACAATGGTGTTTCTGAAATTCAACATATAACATGTTCAATTCATACTCGGTATTTGTGTCAGATAATCTTATGAACAATTCAATTATTTACTTGTGTCCTTCCTTCTCCAGAAGTGACTTTGCAGTTGTGTGGGCGAATCTGACTTTTTCTTTAAGTTTCTTAGCTACTGCATGGAAAGATGTGGCCAGAGGTGAATCGTCTTTCTCAAAGAAACCAACGACACTCACTTCATCGGATTCCAAGAATGATTTCAAACAGTTCTCAGAAGTCAATTCCTTAGATGCTGGACCAACCAGTGCCTAATACAGATTAAGTTCGATTAGATGTTTCATTTATTTTAATTATACTTCAAGTGAACTCAAGATCATAAATTTGATATACCTTTATAGTCTTGACAATACCAGCAGCTTCTCTAGGTCCATTATAATCACTGACAAAGTCTTTCTTAGAGAAGATCTTCAATGTCGGATAACCATTGACCGAATGCTTGTTACATGTTTCCTTTCCATTTTCGGTACAATCTACCTTGGCCAGAGTGATCGGAGGATCACTACCCAACAACATCTCAGCTGCTTTGGCATACTCTGGTTTTAACCGTTTGCAGTGACCACACCTAACACAACGAAACATCATTTATAAATTAAAAATCACTTACACTACTAAAAAGCGAAAGGAAGCTATATCTTTTTTTTTTCATAAAAGAAATAAGAATATGGCTTTGAGTACTGTATTATGAGCCAGCACCTAGCATTGTTACCGGAACTTCAAAAATCATGATTTCCTCTCGGATTTCTCGGCAACGATAGATTCGACAGGATAATAGCGAAAAGGGGAACATATTTGCGGCTTCGAGAATGTAGATTTATCATAAAAATATCTCTTACCATGGCGCGTAAAACATAACAAGCGTGTTTTCATGCTGCTCTAATTCATGGCTGAAATTTTCGTCGGTCAGCTCCAGCACATCCTTTTCTTCGGCCAAAACGGAGACTAGAACCAGGAAAAGAAAGCTAAGGTATTTAGGCAGCATCGTGGATCACGGTGCGGCTCGTTAAACGGAATTCGGTTTCGGCTCTTTCTTCGGTAGACACTGTACGTCTAAGACGTGGCTTTTACAAGAAGTTAGTCAGCGCTGTATAATACCCCGCGCAGTGCTGTCGCCTCCTGATTGGCTACTCCTTTTGTGATACGTGTGCGTTGTGTTCCTGTAGACGCCACGTATCGCATAAAGGGTGTTCCTAAAACCAGTTACAAAAATTCGTTAACATGCTTTTTAGGCGATTTTTCTTCGCGACTTTAATCGTTCAGCTTATCAGTTTTCTTATATACTTAAAAATATTACTGCTAAACTAGAACACTCGACAATCGTCCTCAGGACAATCATGGAAGCTTTCTGTCCGTCAAATGGTCGGACGGGTAATATTTTCCAGAACACTCTGTATACGCAAAGAAAACAAGAACGGGTTGGTAACGAAAATCTATATTTCATTGGTGTTGTCTCTGTGGCAGAATTAACGAGAGTTTCCAACGATACATATGATTTCCGAACGATCTATTTCTGTAGATCTTATCAGCCGCCAGAATAATTGCGTTACCCTCTATAAAAACGCCAGGAAACAAATTTATAAAATTCATACTTTATTTTTACGAGTAATAAAAAAATACTCGTACTTGTTTATCAGAAAACAATAATTATATAATAATTATTTGTTATACTACTATGAATAGCGTGTAAAATTCAGATATTTTGAAGCCTTTGTTTCAAGACCTGCTACCGGTCGTCGATGGAATTTCAAGATGGCGACATCTCGCGACAACAACATGGAACTAATTCGCGACGAGCTTGGAGATTTCGCCATAGATGGAGCCTCGAATATTATTCATATGGCGGTAAGCGTGTTTTATAAAATATGGTTAGGAACACGTATAAAACATTGCCTACGTTTAGAATATTAGATAAATAATGCTGCAACCGATTGAAATCGATGCAAAATGTTGGGTAATCACGGGTAATTAAAAAATAGTTCAATGCCACTGGAAGAAAAATTATAACTTACGTATTTATCGAATTATTCCGTATCCTTTTCATACACGTGTGGAATTGAATGCTGCAAAATACTTTTGATTTTACTGTTGACGCAGCGAGTAATTTAATCGGTTGTGATATTGATTATCCTACAGTTATCAATTCCCTCGTCGTTTCCCGAGGGAATGCCGAACAAGTGTTTACTATCGAGGATACACTGCTACTGGTAATGCCAGCCTGCGATACAAATTACAGATAGAAAAAAAGTGACAGTGTCAGAGGACAGTGATTATTCATCGAGTCAGGGATGCAGCTTGCGTAACAAAGTTGTCTTTTCTTAATGAATAATTGAAAGGTTCTACATAAAAATTGTATGGATCGAATCGTTGATTTTGTTGTTCACATTCTACCTTACACCTCGTCTTCTACTCTTTTCGTTCGGTTTCTGCTGCTTCGTGATTCTCAAGAGTAGTCATTGACACCTGCCAAAAGGTTATTGAGTGACAATCATTATTTTTAGCCCTTTGCACTCGAGAGGCGACCCCGCCACTTGATTTCGTACAGTAAACTTATAAAATATATTTAATATCACACTTATATTAATTATATTAATAATACAACCAATTTAATTAATCACTTAATACTAACCAACCCTTAATATTACTTAACCCTCTATAGGCTCGTGTGACTTTAAAGTCACACATCAATATAGTTAAATTGACGTATTAAATTTTCTATTGCAAAATGACAAACGACATTAAATAATTAACCAACTGAAACTTTTGCACTTTTGTAGAGGGTTAATATTATACTTCATATAATGTATCAATTTGAGAAATATTCAAATATCTTTGTTCCTCGATGTACGTGATTTCTCTACTAGTTTCACGAAACGTCATCTCATCGTCAAAATTTCCAGTGAAAAACTTCCGAGTGTAAAGGGTTAGTAAACGATGGTATAATAGATCGTATAAAATAAAAGTACAGCCACTACAATGTGAACGAGATAAGGTAACTGTGGGAAAGTTTAGATTATCGTTACTCAACATTTTCCTCGTAATTGCAACGATTGACCCGAATGATCGCAGCTTTCGTAAGGAAACGCGGGGAACGTGAGATTTTTCTGACAGCTCGGTCGCCGAGTTTAATCGCTCGCGGGGAAACACTGTAATACTGGAACAGGGAATGCCCGGGCGGTGCAGGGCAAACAGGAAAATCGTAATGCGCGCACGTGCTGTATCTGTTATTAAACGCGATGCGAATCACAATGCGGAGACCGGCCGCCATTCGTAGCCGATACCCGCTTCGCTAGAAGCGATCGTGAGTTCGCAAAAAAAAGGGGAAACCAGCCTTCATTAAATATCGCATTCGGTGAGCGGCATTTAGTTAGTCGTTCCGAAACTGTGCTGTTGTTTGCAACGACATAGCCGAGTCACATCATCCAAATCGATTTCCTCTAAATATTATGGTGAGTGAACATGCCAAAACTGACGGAGAATTGGGAGGCACGAGGAAACTGTCAACGGTGAAAATTAATTAATAGGATACGATCGCGGAAGCCTCGACTTTTCTCAATTCGTATTGTGTAAATAAATGAATTCAATAATTGCCTAAACGAATGACATTTTGAAATCGTGACGATATTTATTTCACGAATTTAGTAATTGTGTTAAATGTTTAATTAGAAGGTAAGTGGAAAGAGAAACGAGAATCTTTTGTTAAATTAGATTGCTCGATAACGATTCGTTAAAATCGAAAATTAATTAATAGCTTCTGCGATCGCGGAAGCCTCGAGTATTTTCTCAATTCGTATTGTGTAAATAAATGAATTTAATAATTGTCTAGAAAACGAATGACATTTTGAAACCGTGAGTTTCATGAGTTTAGTAATTGTGTTAAATGTTTAATTAGAAGGTACGTGGAAAGAGAAACGAGAATCGATATCTTTTGTTAAATTAGATTGCTCGATAACGAGTGTCCGTGGTGTTTGTATTTCATTGATTTTACTTGAGCACTTTGTTGCGTGTCGCGCAGTTAATTAGCTAATAGTATTGTATAAATATATTTCCGGTATATGTTGGATTAATCGTGCTCTATCGTGATTGCACGGAATTAGGTATTTTTATCCGAATAATTAGATGAAAGTGAATTGATTTGAAATGGATCAATTGGTTAAAAATAAATGACGCTGTCAGCTGTGCCACCGATAATGGATCACTCTGTACACCGTCGCGTGTATTCCCGCGAGTCATATGAATAGTCATAATTTTATCACTATAACGATATGCAGCATATCCCGATAAAAATCGCGATAAACAAACGGCTGATCAATATATGCCAACGGAAATGTTTATAATACAATTCTGAGAAAACGTCGAAGAAAATGGCAAACGGTCGTTACTGCGAGCGCGAAAATTTCGGATAAGTGTGATCGATCGGAATCGACAAACTCGATTGTGAATGCAGGCATGCGTACAGGCGACTCGTTCAAGGCTTCACCATGGTCCCTTATATAAGCCACAATATTGATGCACGTGCTCTATAAATTAAACAATGGTGTTTAGTTTGTTGTAAGAAACCAGAGGTCTCGTTTAATTAATAGGCATTTATATGATAAATGAGATCGCCAATAATTCATATCGAATACAAGGGGACTAGTTATGTAAAGATATTCTATTTCTAGTAGCACGTCTACACCAGCGAATTGACATCTTATAACAATCGATATGGTCGAGTTCATGTGGTTCGAGTCCTACGTCAATTGAAATTGAAACGAACGTTTCGAGATGCACAGATATACGCCACTTTAACCGCCAAATATTTAAAATCCGGATTCCGCAAATTCTGATAGGCTCGAACACATTAAGCTAGGGACAACAGGTATTTTAATTAATCGTTGATGTCGATTGTTAGAATCTACAAGTGGTTCGAGTGTTACGCGTGCGATCTACCGTGGAAAAAGTAGAATTGTTTCGATAATCGTTTTCCATTGAAATTTATGCGACTAGTCCCTGAAGGTTAGCGGGGGAAGAAGAGGAGAGAAAAAAGAAATAGGCCGCGAACGGTGAACGGAAATAGAGTCACGTGTAATTGTCCTGTGCGAGTTCTCTAATCGACACTGGCGGTTTCACGTCCTCTGATAAGTGAAGTCGCCAGAGTAGATACGTTCAGTTGTGACCCAGCTGTCAAAGCGAGAGGTTCGGTATTTGTGTACCTTTCACTGACTCCCTGCTGTTGAATCGAGATCATTTGGCTATCAGCCACAAGCCAGATTTACGTCATCCCATTACTCAGAACAATCTGCTTTTTCGTATTTTCAGTTGGTTCGCCAGTGTGCCCATTACATCAACGCTTATCATTTATCAATCGCTGCGAAAGGTAAGAAAATATCGTGTGTCATCGTGAATCACGGTTTCACTTTCTCTTTTCTTTGAAACGGGGTTGACACACTTTCTACATTTATACAGCGATTTCACGTTTATAACACGAAAATTAAGAATCTAGCATTGTGAACAATCGAATTTTTACTTAGTCATACCTCTTTATCTCTGCTTATCAGTACATGAGTTGTAAAAGGTGCTGTTTTATTTCAGGCAACCCGAGAAATATGCCTTGCCCATTTTTAACTCGTCTGACTGCCAATTACATTCATAATTACGGCTCTTCGATACTGACAAATTATCGCCAGCTATGTCCGTTTATGTCTCAGCTTATTAGGACTCAAGCAGAAGTGCAGAACGTCGAGGCACAGAAAGTTCAGAAAGATGATGAAAACCAATGTCCATTCTTAGCTAAAGAGCATACTGCTGTGAAAATGGCTAATCCTGTGGTTGAGGAAGACATTAAAAATGAGGCTTCCACCGAACAGAAGGAAGAATCTAGCTTTGCTTACGAAAAATTCTTTCATGAGCAAATCATAAAGAAAAAGAAAGATCATTCTTATAGAGTCTTTAAGAAAGTGAACAGGTTGGCACAGAGTTTCCCAACTGCTATGGAATATTCGAATAAACCAAAACCCATCACTGTTTGGTGTTCTAATGATTATTTAGGAATGTCTCGACACCCAGTGGTGACAAACTCTGTTCGAGAAGCTCTAGATAAATTTGGAGCAGGAGCTGGTGGAACGAGAAATATTTCGGGAAACTCCATGGGCCATGAAGTATTAGAAAAAAGACTTGCAGCATTGCACCAAAAGGACGCTGGTTTATTGTTCACTTCCTGTTTTGTTGCTAATGATTCCACTTTGTATACATTAGCGAAACTTCTTCCTAGTTGTCATATCTTTTCTGATGCTGGCAACCATGCTTCCATGATTCAGGGGATAAGAAACAGTGGAATACCAAAACATATTTTTAAGCATAATGATGTACAACACTTGGAGGAACTATTATCTAAAGTAGACAAAAGCATTCCAAAAATTGTAGCATTTGAAACAGTACATTCTATGACTGGTGATATATGTCCTTTGGAAGAGTTGTGCGACGTTGCTCATAAGTATGGTGCTTTAACATTTATCGATGAGGTTCACGCTGTTGGGCTCTATGGATATTCTGGTGCTGGTATTGGAGAGAGAGATTGGGTTCTTCATAAAATGGATATCATTTCTGGTACACTGGGCAAAGCTTTTGGCAATGTTGGCGGTTACATTGTTGGTTCTTCGAAATTGATAGACATGATACGAAGTTATGCTGCAGGCTTTATTTTCACAACATCCCTACCGCCAACGGTATTATATGGTGCTCTAGCTGCTGTTGAAATTTTAGCTTCAGACGAAGGGAGGGCATTGAGAGCTACTCATCAGGACAATGTAGCTTATATGAAATCTATTTTAATTGCGGCGGGTCTTCCGCTAGAACCGTCGCCGTCGCACATTATTCCGATAAGGGTAAATTATCTTACAAATTCCATTTTCATGTATCACTTTGAATATATACTAAATTATAATTTTCTGTCAGGTCGGAGATGCATTACTATGTAGTCAGTTAGCTGACCTCTTAATACAGGAAAAAGGCCATTATGTTCAAGCAATAAATTATCCCACTGTTCCAAAGGGGCAGGAAAGATTAAGACTGGCTCCTACACCGAAGCATACTCGGACGATGATGGACCAGCTTGTGAAGGATATGTTAGACGTGTTTGATCGCCTAAATATTCCAGAAGTGAAAAATAAAGCAAGCGAAATGCCACTCTCAATTTCAGTTCATTAACGAATGTACTCGATAGAAAAAAAAATGTAAAAATTGTATATTACATATACAAAATATATCTATATATATGACTGTATATATATATAGAAAATCAATACAATAAAACAAGCATTCGCCTGATGAATTGTTGAAGATTATACAAAGTTAATATAAAGCTTTAAATAAAATGTTATTAAAAAATCTGTCGATTTTTAATAATAATAATTGTACGAGAAAGGTTTTTATTACCATTATTTAAATTGAAAGTGGAGTGATAGAATTTTGCGCAAGCGCAGTATTTTCCTGCTTTAGAATTTATACGTTATCGTTTGCGGAAGTAATTTATTAGTGAATTTCTTAGTCTTTTTCACTCGTTATTTTTAACGAAGATAAACGCTTACAAGGATAGAAAAAAATTTAAAAACTCGAGTATAACGCAAATAGAAATAGATAATATCATGCTATTCGATGCTTGGTTTCCTTGACAACATAGGGGAAAGCTCGATCGAGGGGAAAGTTATCTTTCCATCGTTTATGATATTTTCTATTTCCTATTTAACACGAATTTGAATGCAAATTAATTTCGGCTATTATGTCGACGTTAAGAGAATTATTATAAATCATTTATCAATGTCAAGGACAAATTAATATCTGACAAGTCCTTACGTGACATAGTGTAAAAGTTACATATAGGAAACCAGTGCGATATAGGCAACTCTCTCGCTCTCGCAAACAGGACTAGAACAAGATTGGTCTGTGCATGTTGTGGCCCTTTAAAACGTGTGTGACAACCGAGTGTATTGTTCTGCTTCGGTTCGTGGTAATCCAGTCGTAAAATGATAGTGAAATGAACAAGAGGTATATTAGATGTACGAAGTTGATGCTCTTAAATGAATTTCTACCTTCGACCGATGCATAAAGTCGTTTCATTGAAATGCTGAATCGGAGACGCAACGAAGGTTAGGATGAAAAGTATCATTAATATTTTGAAAATGTTCATTGCGTTTTTCTATGATTACGCACGAGGATTGTCGTATACAGTTACCACGATCTTGGTTTTGGGTTATTGCCTGCATCCAGCAAGGTTTGCTTCGCATTACACGTTTATAAAGACGGATGACATTTACGATGAAATGGAAAGGTCGTATCCGGCAAGGGATAACTCTTGCATGATCTCGATTAATCCTAGAAGATCTCATTTACTTTATCCCGATCAGTATCCTCGAGAGGATCCAGTAGTAATGGCACGACGCTTAGGTATATTGCCAGGAGGACAATGGAAGCCTCTCAACTGCCATCCCCTATTTAACGTGGCAATCATACTGCCATACCGAAACCGGCAAACGCAGCTTGCCATTTTTATGAATTACATTCACCCTTTCTTGCAAGCTCAGAATCTCGATTACAGAATATTCGTGATAGAGCAAAGTCCGATGAGCGAATTCAACCGTGCGAAACTATTCAATGTTGGATACGCCGAAGCAACCAAAGTGAACGATTTTCATTGCTTTATCTTTCAAGATATAGATTTAATACCTCAGAATCCTGATAATATTTATGCTTGCACAAAGATGCCAAGACACATGAGCTCAAGCGTGAATACATTTCGTTATAATTTACCTTACACAGGCTTGTTCGGAGGTGCAATTGCACTGACTCGTAAACAATTTGAAAGGGTCAACGGGTTCTCCAATGTTTTTTATGGATGGGGTGGAGAAGATGATGATTTTTACAGTCGTCTGCAATCCAGGGGTTTTCAGGTACATTGATTATCGTTATAGTAAGCTGAAGAATAAATAAAGAACAAAGCGAGAAGTGCTATATTTCTTTTGAATTTCAGGTGATTCGTTTCAGTCCTGATGTTGCTCAGTATTATATGCTAACGCATAAAAAAGAAACTCCAAGTAACGCAAGATTTGAAAATTTAGAGACTGGTGCTAAGAGATACGACACAGACGGAATTAGCAATTTAGAATATAGGGTATTGAATCATCAGTTAAGGCCATTGTATTCATGGATCTTAGCGGATGTCTAGTCCTTCGAACAATTAATATTTCTTAAATTATTTTATGAAGAAACTTACTTCTTTTAAGATATTTTCTGCAACTTCATTTCACAATGACAAAAATCTTCACAGCAGAAAATTGTTTGATATGAAAGTTACACAAAGATAAGTTTTATATAAATTTTCTAGCAACGTGTAAACAAAAGAAAAAACTAATGTCACCGTAACATTTTTTATACAAGTGTTGTTCTGAACGGTATAGTGATATTTACACCAAAAGCATTGCCATGATATGTTTGTATTATTAATTGTTTAGTAACGTAACGTAAAGAAATAGTCTGTAGATAAAAATGTACTCATCCGACGTTACGTTTTTGGAAACGAAAATACTTCGGTAGTCGGTTCGCACATTGTCGTGCAGTTTGTTCGAACTAATTGTCTGCAGTCTTATATATATATATATAGAAAAAGACATGCGTCCTAAATTCCGTTCCTGTTTACATTAACGCATTACGTCGTGAAGGTCAATTTTTTAAGAGAACGCAGTTTTGATAGTACAAAACTTCTTTAAATAAATCACGAATTGTAGATAATCAATTTTCCCCTAACTTATTCCTAATTCACAGATAGCTAATATTTGATACTTTTAGTATGGTATTTGTGTATACCAAAGGAAAACTAATAGTGAAATTAGAACATTATTTATTGTTTTTTTAATAATGAAAACATGAGATAGAATAAGTTCATATGTTACTAATCGCCAAATGTAACCAAAGCAATCGTTATAAATATCAAATACTTAATGATTCCAAATAACTTTAATGTGATGATAAACTTAAATATATATATTATATTGGAATAGTCTGTGCTTGAGTATAATTCAGGAATATTTAGTTTCTAAAGAAAACTGAGTCCAAATTGTAAATCATCGAAAGTAAAGTTTAAAATTATAAACGGCTGTATACGTGTTAAAGCAACTATTTATTGTATAAAGTCATCACTATGCGACCATTAAACTTTCATTTACATGTACTTAATTTACAATAGATTGTATTTTTGAAAAGTCTAAGAATCATAAGTATTGCTTTAAATATCCTTTTCCGACTTTTAATTGAAAGAAAAGAAAAACAAAAGTGAGATTTTTTTTTAGCGGATACGAGTGTAGTGCGGGCAATATTGCCGAGTGTATTTTTATTATCTCTTAACTTATTATTACATAGGTTTTGCATGTATAATTAAAAAAATAATGATAGGGTTTACGAATGACTGTAGAAATGTGTGTGTATATATATATATATATATAGTGTATTCACTATATATATAAATATAGTGAAAAATGTATGATCTCCAAAATTACGATTTAAATTAGTAATAAAAAGAAAAACGGACGTATATATGCGAATATAAATATAATTATCTCTCTATAATATGTCTGTGTGTGTATTTGTGTACGTGAAATCTGACATAATTACATTATAAACAAATTATGAAATTTAATGCAAACTGTTACAGTATAATAAATATGTGATGAACCAGTAATGAATTCAATTGCAAATGGATCTTAACTATAATTAGGTTGCTGCTTTCCCTTCAAGAAGCATCATGAAATTAGATTCTAGCCATGCAAAATAAAAGTCAAAAATATTTAAAAGCGATTGATCCTTCAATTCGAAGACATTTCATAATGCTCCGA